GACCCCAAGATCACGACCCGAGCTGAAGGCAGAAGCTTTAACCCACTGAGCCACCCAGGCACCCCTCCTTCTTTTAACTTTGTAAGACTGTCTATTCACAGAAATAGTGACTTACAGGTTATTATAAAATGACTAGATATGGTGCACTGAGCACAGTCTCATTCTTGTGATATTCCTGCTAAAAATGTGAACACAAGGAAACATCAGACAAACCCAAATTGAGGGAAAATTCTACAAAGTTAACTGTCCTCTACTCTTCAAAAATGACAATGTCAAGAGAACCTGGTCTAGATTAGAAGAGACCAAAGAACCAGAACAAAATGTGGCAAATGATCCTGACTAACGGAAAGATTATTAGCAGACCACTAATGAAACAGGACTATGCACCGTGGAGTAGAAACTACGGATGCTATTTTTGGTAGGCACTGTATGTAGTTACACAGACAGTGTCCCATTACTAGGAAATAGTTTTTAGGGATAGAATAGCAAGATGTCTCTACTTTCCTAGGATTCAGGAGGAAGAAAACAAAAAAACCCATGTAAATGAAACAAAGTATAATTAGCAAATTTGAAAAGGGTAGTTTTTTGTACAGAGTTTTCCTATTTACCAGAATAATTCTACTTGAAAAGTATGTGCATTCTGTACTTTCTGAGCCTTCCTCAATCTAATTTCTTGAGTGCTTTTCACTAGGAATTATCTGACACACATTTTTTTCTAATGCTTCAGGGCTGTTAGAACTGAACTAGGCTTTAAATCCTACCTCTGCTTATAAATCGTTAATTCTAGGACTTCCTTAGAAGGGACACTGATAATAGGTATAAATGCATGGATGTTAACAATAAATAAAAATTTAATTACAAGTAGTTACCTAGGGTTTGAGCTGCAATACTTATTGTTACTTGTCTTTGTAAAATTCCAGTGACCTATGATAAACTACCTGGAGACTATCAATTTTTCTAGATTTGCATTTCCAGAAGGATACACAAAAAACTAGCAATCCTGGCTTCCTCCAAAGGGTCAAAGGTGGAATTTGCTGTTATTAACTCTTATGCTTCTCTTCCAACTTCTGAAGGAACCACAATTCCTTCCTGCTCAAGTATAAAAACTTAATCACTGGGGCACCTGCATGGCTCAATTGGTTAAGCAGCTAACTCTTCACTTCCACTTAGCCACAATCTCAGGCTCCTGGGATAGAGACCCCAGTCAGGCTCTGAGCTCAGTGGGGATCTGTCTGGGGATTTCCTCTCTTCCACTTGTGTGCTCTCTCTACAATAAATAAATAAATCTCAAAAAAAAAAAAAAAAAAGTTAACCATTTAGTAAGTACTACACTGAGGGCCCATCTGTGGGCTGCTGTTACACAGCCAAGACAATCTAAACAAGCTGTTGAGGACCTAGATCAATTACATAATCCCATCAACTCACCCTTTTAGCACACAGTAGCATACATGGTGTTAAACATACATATATCCATCTTATTCCGGAAGTGGTACTGCTTTAAAAAGTTCAGACTTTAATGTTTGTAAATTTACCAGGTACTAAACTATGTTAAAACTCTCTATATTCTCATTGTTTGATACTTAATGTTAAAAGTAGTATTTTTCATTCCTGCCACATAAGCCAAGGGATTACTTCAATAAAACAATGTTGGTACTGAAAAAGTATTCAGGAGTATACTTGTCAGCCATTTAAAATAGCAGATCTCTAAGTAAAAACAAGTTGTAGAATACCACTCATGCTAAGAACAGCTTGTTGGAACAGATTTTAGGACCAAAATCTAGGCACAGACATATTGTTAATAGCAGCTACCTTAGCCAAAGGGCTCTAAGGAAAGACACTTTATGTTCCTAAGTATGTATACTTTTGTAATTAAAATTAAGTCAAAATTTAAGAATATTTGGGGCGGCTGGGTGGCTCAGTGGGTTAAGCGTCTGCCTTCAGCTCAGGTCATGATCCCAGGGTCCTGGGATGGAGCCCCGCATCAGGCTCTCTGCTTAGCAGGGAGCCTGCTTCCCCCTCACCGCCTCCCCCGCCCCCCCCCCTCTGCCTACTTGTGATCTGTCAAATAAATAAATAAAATCTTTAAAAAAAAAAATCTTAAAATCATTCAAGTGCCATAGGACTGAAATTGAATAGTGACAAAACACTTTCTGAACACAAGGTAAATAACAATGTGAAGTTTCCTAAATGTAAACTGCAAAAGTTTAGAGTGCTCCAAGTCCTAAATTAAGGACATTAGATTAAGGATTTTGGAAAAGGTGATTAAAGCTTCTTACTTTTCCTGAGAAATAATTATTATGGAAAATGTTCAATCACTACAAGGTGAAAACAAGTAAATTTCGTGTGAAAATAAGGCAAGACAATATAAAAAAGATTTCGTATGCTTAATTCTTCACAGTAGCAGATAGTACTCATTATGGTACTATTCTAAACACTTCCCACTTACTAACCTTTATTTTTATCATTTTTAAAGATTTTATTTGACAGCACGAGCAAGCACACAAGCAGGGGGAATGGCAGGCAGTGGGAGAAAGTAGACTATTGAGCAGAGAACCCTACAAGGGGCTCAATGCCACGCTTCTGGGATCACGAGCTGAGTGGAAACTAGCCCCTTTAACTGAGTCGCCCAGGCATCCCTAACCTTTGTTTTTAAAAAGATTTTAAAGCAATCTCTATACCCAACATGGGGCTCAAACCTACAACCTTGAGATCAAGTCACATGCTCCACCAAGCCAGCCAGACACCCTAGGTATTAACCTATCTTCACAACTCATGACTTATGCTTACCATTTCCCGGATAACATCCAAGACTGACTGGTAAGGACCCCCCCTCCCCCAAGATAAGCCATCCACTATGTTGATCCTAAACGCAGGTCTCTGGGGAACTGAAAACAACGCCCTTTTCTCCTACTCAAGTCAGGAATGGCTTGCCAATGGCCAACACTAGTTCAAAAAACCATGTGCCAAATGTTTGGCACTAAGTGGGAATACAAATGAATTCAAAACGAGCCTTTCCCTCAGTAAGCATTTTATTGAGGAGATAAAGCATAAAGTGGGTTAACAAAGTGGGAAAAAGAAGATACCAAGATGAAGGTAGTAACAACACAGGACTGGAACGTCATCACAGGAACTGGTAGGACTCAAACTGGCCTTAAAGGCACTATGGCGTATCAAACAACATTATCAGGTAAAAGAAAGGGGAATCCTCATGTTGCTCATTTCTGTTTTTGCTCTCTGTTTAATCTCTATCCAGCCACAGATGTACACATGGCATGTTGTAGACGCTCAGATTCTACTTATAAGTTAGCAAGAACTAAACATTTCAGTGAACTCTGCTCTTAAGTGGGTCAGTGTTCTAGGGCTTTAGCATATCCAATGATGTACAGGTCCACAGGTACGGACTAGGACTAGGTTTTCACTAAGTTGGTCTTTACTATTACCAAAAAACTTATGGGTATAGGCATTTACCTTCCAATTACCCACTTTGGGGGCAACTAACAATGTACACAAAACCTATTACCACGTGATGTTACACTAATACAAGAAAGCCCAGTTGAAGGATGACTTTACAAAGTCAAATTTCACATTGTGATATTTCCCCCCCTTCCTTTTTAAAAAGGCTGTGGTTTTAAAAGCTTTTGTTTTTTCCCTGAAAACAAGAGACCTTTGGTCAAAGCCAATTCTTAAACCAAATTCTGAAAGGCAGCTGGAGATGTGCCTCTTCATGTAAGAGTTGTAATTTCTGTTCTTTCAAGTAGGCAAAATAATGAACTACGACTGTAGACACCACTGTCTTCTCTGAAATCCTGAAGTTTATACTGGAAAAAAAAACCCATTTCATATGAATATCTAAATTTTAGGAAGTATGAAAGTAAAGAAAATAAGGTTATGGAAGAAGCATCAATCTTTTGGGGCACTATATTCCTAAGAGTAGGCTCTAAGATTTTGTAAAAGGAAGCCCAGAAATGTCTCAAAAACAAGTCTTTTTACTCATTATCAAGTACTCCCTGCTACTCTGATTCTGATGCCTAAAATCTTTGACTCCTTTTTTTTAAAGTAGCCTCATTTTATCAGGTATGCCTTCTGGATTATTTGAACCTATAAACCAACTCTAGATTATCATGCTTTCTAGTCGTACCTGCAGCATGATGAGCACCATACCATCATGCCCTATTATATAGTACAACCCAGCCCTTGATACCTACAGTGACAGTTCCTAGAAGATATAAAAGCTGAGTCAAATAACCTACATCTCAGTTCCAAACCAAGGTTAATGAGTGCTTTAATTTCATTGAAAAGTACCTGAACAAAAAGATCTAAGGTAATTCATTTCTCAAACTGCAATTTCAACTAATTAGGTCTACAGATACAGGGACTAACTGGTTACCCAGTACCTCCTACAAATTTGCAGTATAATTTGGCTTCCATAGCACATTACACTCCATAATAAAGTACAGAAAGGTTAGGGTTTATCTACGTAAATCCTTTTCAAGCCAACCATATGTCGTAAAGTTACAGGGATGATCTAACCCATTATTACAAAACCTCATCAACTACAAGGAGGACTGACTGTTGGGTAGAATTTTACTTTAATAAGCAACTGATTTTACCAAGCAACCTGTTAAGTGCCTGTTAAATGTAATGATCTTCCAGCAGAAAATGCAGTATTTGCTTTCCCACTTTGAACAAGAATAAACTAAATTCCAATCAAAGAAAGGCTACTTCCATTTTTATATAACAAACATTGAAGACCACAGAACCATACTCTAACACTAATTACACTGACCACTTCCAGAAAATAGAATTACTAGACGAAATGGGATCCCAAGTGTTAAGAACTACTTCTTCCAAAAGTTTGAGCAAACTTAAGTTTAAAAAGTTTCATTATTTAAAACCTACTAATTTAGGCAAAATCATGTAACGGACTACAAAATACCTTTTATTTTTAACTTAACTCAAAGGGGCAGATAGACTTTGGCAAATTTGATTAACAGCACAAATGTTATCCAAATGGAATAATTTATTGCTGGTCTGAGACTTGCCTTCTTTTACACTTATGTAATTTACAGTTTCACAAAGAACAAATTATCAATATTTAAAGGAATTTAAGTGACCTATTCAGTAAGGCAATCAACTTGGTAGCAAATTTTTATTGAAATCTTACATAACTCAAGCTTTATAAAAAGCCAACATAATTGAAAATCGGGATCTCCCTCTAAAGCCTTAGGTATTCAAAGCTTGCAACGGTTAATTTAAAAGCAAACAAAACAACAAAATCCCTGCAGCAGATCCTGCTGAAATACTTAAAAAAAAAAAAAAATCTAAATGAGCTTAATCTTTACAAAAGTTATTTTAGCTCAAAAGCTATAAAATCAAAGTTATCTTAATTCTACAAAGAAGGGAGAGGGTCTTTGACTTCATGCCACCATTTCTTTAGAACCTCATTTTTTTTTTTTTCATCAAATTTGGCCACAAATTAAAATTTCTGTGTGCCCCATTTTCAGGAGATTCCTCTTGCAGAAGAGGCCAAGTACAAACATGGAAGAGTAACTGCCTAAGCAAGTAGGAAAGTGTTCCATAATAGTGTGCAAAGAATATAGAGTTCTAGGTTAATCTCTGGAACTCGATCTGGACCGTGATCTTGACTTTGAATGAGATCTAGAGCGGGATCTTGAGGCTCTTTTTGGTGGAGGGGACACGGACCGTGCCTTTGAGGGTGGGGCAGGTAGGGGTGAATTTGAACGAGACTGGCTTCTTGATCTAGATTTTGACTTTATATCACCTTTTCCATTTTCTTTGGGGGAACGAGATCGAGAACGAGACCTGCTTCGAGATTTCTCATACTCCTTAGATCTGCTTCGAGAGCGCGAACGGGAGCCCCGATCAGACTTGGGCTTTGATTTGCTTTTTGATCTAGATTTCCTGCCTTTTGATCGAGAACGTGATCGACCTTTGCTCCGAGACCTGGATCTGGACAAGAAGAGTCGATTTTCTTTTCAGTACCTTGCCAGAACACACAAGCACAGTAACAATCAGAAAAAAAAACTTAACAGATTATTTACCGGGAGCGGCTTTTTGAGATACTTCGAGATCTACTGCGGCTGCTCCTGCGACTCCTACTTCGTGACCTTCTTCTAGACCGTGACCTATAACCAGAAACACAATAGAAATCTTTAATCTCAATACATCTCAAAACGAACTTTTGTCGTTTACAAAAAATAATACGCAAACAAAAAGTAATCGTTTACTACAAATTAAATCCGCCTGAAAGCATCCTGGAAAAGAACCCAATGATGCACAATAAAAAGGACAACAAATACTGAACTTGTTTCAATTAAGTTCCAATTCAAGTACTGCCATTTGATTTTCCTCTGCTCTTGGCAAGTACTGTTTCCTTTCCTTTCCCCCATCTTTCAACAAATTACCTTGATCTGCTTCCAGAGTAAGATCGCCTATGGCTCGTTCGTGGTTTATCCTCAATGAGCCTAATATTCCTGCCATTTATTTCTGTACCATCCAGTTTATCCAGAGCACGCTTCATGTCAGAGTAGGAACGGAACTCAATCACGCCTTCATTTGTGCGTTCTTTGTGAGCATCCGCATAGGTTACTTCACCTGCTTGTCTCATGAAATCCTAAGAAAGCAACAAGACTGGTCAAACCTAGAAATGTAAAGAAAAAGATCTACGTACCGTACTCAATTCTCAGAAGTAAAATGAAATAAAAGCCTACCTTTTCAACATTAGTCATATTATTTTTATCTCAAATTATAGCACATACCTTTAAATCTTGCCAACTGCAACGACTAGAAAGGTTTTCTACAATAAGCCTGAATTCTGTACGAACAGGTGGTCCGTATTTGTCTCTGCCAGAAGTTCTCCGACTGCTGTATCCACCTCCACCACCTTTATCACATGAAGAGAATAATTAGATGCTTTGTAATGATAGGGATGCATGTTTTCTTGAAAGTTAGTACAAACATATCAACTTTTATATACTGGAGTAGGACTTTGCTATTATATTGCTAAACCTTCGATACAGTTGTGATTTGCCATAAATTAAATTAAGGGCAAGTCAAATAGACTAAATCCAACTAAACTTCTCCTACAATCTGTTAGAGAGTGACTGCTCCTTTATTCAATTTACCTCGCTAAGTTTTATTTTACAGAACATTGTAAAATATAAAACTTAACTGATTACATGCATTTCTACATTTTACAAAAATGTTTACTAGTTACACTAAGTACTTACATCACAGTGTGAGGTTTTTGGTGGTGGTTTGGCCACAAAACACGCAAGGTAACAGTCACCTAGTTCAGATTAACCAGTTTTGTCTAACCCTTGGAATCCTCACCATCACCCTGCGTCTAATGGCAAAAGGCTGCTGTCGTCATGGCTTCCGGTAAGGTCAGCCAAAGGGTCATAGGGCAAGGGTCACACAATGTATGGAAAAGCCAAGGCCAATCAGGAAAGGCAGTCATCTTAGCCTCAGTGGACACAGCCTCAGCCCCATTGGTCACTTTCAAATTGAAACATCAAGGACTTGTTAAAAAGTTTGAATTCAACATGCAACAATTTCAACATCAAACATTTAACATAACCAAACCCCTCCCACCTCCTCCCAATAACATGCCCCAACTAGTTCGAATACAGCATAAAGCTCATTTAAGTCTACTTTGTGGTACTATACCACATTTCTTCAAAATAGCATTTTCTTTGGCCCCCGCCAATTTAATTAAATCTAAGATCTAAACTTAATACCCTTCCCCTGACCCCGTCCCCACCCCCCACCCCCACCCAGCCTGCCCTCAAACTTCTACACTAACACATTCCCATTGCTAGCTAAAGCACTGTCAGGTAAGCAAGGGGAATATAACAAATACAGCCATCCCTCACTTCCTCCGTGGGCAGAGCCCACGACAGTGCTGACAGGGGCCCAAACCACCCCCCTCCCAACTTAGCAAATAACCAAAAATAAGAAAATTTAACCCGCCCCCCCCCAACACCCCAACCCTGGCTAAGCAAAACCCACAACCCAGTCCCCGCGCTCCGGCGTCCCGTGGCTGCCCCGGGCAGGCGCGAAGGCAGCAAAGCCCGGAGTCGCTGTAATCAATGGACCCCTGCCACCGCGCCTGCCCGGGCTGGGAGGCCCCACCCCGCCCACCCTAAGCCTGCGCCCACCCTAAGCCCCGCCCCCAGGGTCCCAAGGACGCGGAGCGCGCGGGGGTGGGACTCACTGCGGCTTCCGTAGCTGTAGCCGTCGCGATCGCGGCGCGGGCCCCGAGCGTGCTCCACGATCACGCGCTCGCCGCAGAGCTCTTTGCCGTTCAGCTCGTAAACGGCGTCGTCGGCGTCGCGGGAGTCCTCGAACTCCACGAAGCCGTACCTGGGGGCGGCGCGAGGGCCGGGAACCAGCAGGCGTCGTTAGGCCGGGGACGCGCACGCGCGCGCTCCCACTCCCCGTGCGCGGCCCCGCGGCCCCGCGCCGCCGCCATCTTGGAGGCCCTGCCACGCGGCGCCGCGGCCTTGGCCCTCTTCCGTCCAGCAGGGCCCCGCCGCTGCCAGACCCGGGGCATTGCGGGAGGACGCGGGCGCCCAGGCCCGACTCACCCATTTTTGAGGTCTATTTCGAGGAGGCGGCCATAGCCACTGAAAAAGCGCTGGATGTCCTTCTCCCGGACGTTGTAGCTAAGGCGTCCTATGTAGACGCGCGGCATGTCCGTGGCGGGCAGGGGCCCCGAAGGCTGGCTATCGAACAGCGGACCGCAAGGCAAAAGCCGCGGTGCGGGTGCGGGGACGGCGAGAGCCTGTACACGCGCCTCACACCGCAGCGGCGGCCGAGTCCAGCCACACAATGGTGCGCGCGCGCCAGGGTTACGCTATAAGGGCGGGCGGCCTGGGGGGCGGGGCCGGCGCGTGACGTCAGCGCGCAGCACGTACCCTCCCGCGCTGGAGCCCTGGGCTGGGGGGTGACTGGCAGGTCCCCGTCCGCGAGGTTTCCGTGAGGTGAGGTTCTGTTCGCTCACACTGTTTTCTGCACTCATCTTTGTAAACGCAGTGTCCCGTTGTCGAGCCACAGACTTGTATTCTAATTTGTACTTTCTACTAAACTTCCTCTCGGTGACTCTCCCGGGACAGGCGCTCGGGAGGCCGGCTGGGAGGATTCCGGTTTTTCATTGGTTCTCGAGGTTGTCATAATAGGCCTCCGTGGTCTCTGATTGGCTCCTGAAAGCGAGGCTGCTCGTTTCTGGGGCTGGTGCGCTCACGGTCAGCTTGGCGGGGAACCGGCGCGCGGGGCACAGATGATTAGCTCATTTCACCGCTTCCCCGGCTTGAGCTCCGAAGTCGCTGTGGCCTGGTCGGGATCGCGTTGTGAACGCCCAGCCCTACTGGTCTCTGTCCCTGGTGGTCTCTCAGCCATCGTCAGCCTTGACCGCCTCGCGGCACATCCCCCTCTCTCTCCGTGGGCCTTTCTGGAAGCTCCGGCAGCTGGAGTCAACTGTAGATTGCTGTGTACCTCGTCATTCCACGCTCGCGGTGGGTGCTCGCAAAGGGAGCCCCTGGCCCAAGAAAGTCGAGCGAGACCTGACAGCCCTCTTGCAGAGGTGCGCTGTCCCCGGGTACCAGCGCCCTCTTCCCCCAACAGGTTGGAAGGCACCTTTTCTAAATGTGGCAGAAAGATACACTTTTTAAAGTGTATTAATAGAGATACCTTTTAAAGCTGGAGAACTATATGAAAACCCCGAAGAAGTAAGTTTCAGTGGAGAGCAGAAGGCCCTGGTGTACTCTTGAAACTTGACTACAGCAAAACAGACTGGGAATGAGGGAGCAGAGAGACGGGGAACACCCGGAGAGCACAGGGTCACAGAAGCCAAGAGAGGAAACCATATCAGTGAGATACCACTTGCTGTTCAAGTATCTCCGAATACTCCAGCTCTTTTTGAGTGGTCCAACCTCAATATTCTTCAGCTGGTTGAAAGACGGCGATTTTGCCCTCCAGGGGACTTTTGGCAAAGTCTAGACGCAAGCTAGTTGCAGGGACGGGGGAGAAGTGTTAATACTGGCATCTAGTGGTAAAGGCTGAACAGCCTGTGGTTAAAGTTAGGTAAATACAGGTCAGATCTTTAAAAATTCGTGGGCTATATTAATTAGGGAAAAGAGAATTCAACGATGAGACATTTTCACACTCATTAAATTGTCAATATTTAAAAACTCGTTAAAATTCATTATGGGCGAGAGAAGAATTAAGAAAAGCACCGATACAGTGTTGGTTGTACTGAACATTCCTTTTGGGAAGGTAATGGGGTAATAATATCCTTACTAAAGGATATGTACAGGAGATGGGGTGTTGCTGCCTCTCTTTGCAGTTCATTTGTCTAAAGAGAAAGATGCAGCGGTGTCATCCTCTCCTTCCTCTCACCTCTCTTTCCCCAGAGCTCAATGGCAACCCCCCTCCTTTTTTTTAAATAAATAATCTCTGTACCCAGCGTGGGGCTCAAACTCATCACCCTGAGATCAAGAGCCACACACTCCATGGACTGAGCCAGCCAGGTGCCCCACAATGGCTACTCTTACCGAAACTCCTAACGCACCAGCTACAGACGAAGACACAGTCTCAAATATCATCATTAAAGGGAGTGTTGGGTCCTCAGCATTCTGTGGAGTCTTAATGATCTAACTCACCTCTGTTGATATTTCGGAACAACAACTCAAAGGAGAAATCATAGACGTACAGCACAGGAGTTCCATTTCTTTAGATACCTACAATTGCGGCAAATAAAAATCAGTCTATTGCTGATTCTAAAATTGTGGAGAAAACTGCTGAAATCTGTCATTGAGAGAGAGAGTGTTAATAACTTTGAATCCATAATTTCCCAGATTGGACAGTTTAGAGCCCACATTGTGGTTTTCAATCCCAATGCCATCTGATTTGAAGTGTGTGTAAGCTGGATTCTGGTAGGTTTTGCTGTATGATGTCTGAAAATGTTAGCATCCCAGAAGCTGTCATCCTGAGTGGATTTGGGGTGAACCATGGCAACTCAAGTATGTTTACTTGGAGTGGAGCAAATGTAGCAGGAGTTGCTGCAGAAATGGAATTCAGAAATGGAAATTGTCACGGACATAGTTTTTTATTTTATTTATTTATTTGACAGACAAAGATCACAAGTAGGCATAGAGGCAGGCAGAGAGAGAGAGGGGGAAGCAGGCTCCCTGCAGAGCAGGGAGCCCGATGCCGGGGCTCGCTCCCAGGGACCCTGAGATCATGACCTGAGCCAAAGGCAGAGGCTTTAACCACTGAGTCACCCAGGCACCCCAGGGACATAGTTTGAAAGAGATGGGAAGTAGATGATTGAAAGAACCTCAGAAGGGATGAAATTAAAGGTACTTTCCAAATGCAGTATTGGATTAAATGTTGCCAATGTTGGGGGTCAACGAAAGTGTCTTGACATGTTGACAAATGTCTGCTGAGACACAGAACTGCCCCCTGAGGTATCGCTTGTGACAGTGAGGGCATGTATGGCACTGAGAATGGGCTTCTTTTGCGTTCTAAGTGTTCAAGGATTAACCAGAATTTTCACCAGAAGTGGCAGGATAACAAGGTTTCATCACTCAAGACAATGGGATATACTGAACTATTTAAATATCTGCTGTCATCTGAGCAATATGACAAGGAAATGTAATCATCCACTTATGATTAACTGTGAATGTGCAGTTTTTTGTTTTTTGTTTTTTCTTTTCTAAGTACATGAGTTTGGGCCAACAGCATCCAAGCACATGCCCAGTAAAACATGCATTAAGAACCTATAAACAAATAAAATCTATTAGTTTCAAGTGGAAAAAAAAATGCACACAGTGGCCCAGAGATAATAATTTTTGAGTTAGTCACGAACTGGATGGAAACCCCAAAAGAATACATTTAGATGGAGAGCAGAAGAAAATTCAGAACTACACTCCGGGGAACTGTATTAATTCCTATATATAAAGCGAATGGCGGCTTTAAAAATTACCACCAACTCCGTGGTTTAAAGCAACACAGATTTATTAGCTTACAGTTCGGGAGGTCGGGAGTCCAAAATGGTTCACTGGGTTAAAACAGGTTTCAGCAGGGCTGCATTCCTTTCTGGAGGCTCCAGGAGGGGGATATGTTCCTTTGCATTTTCCAGCTTCTAGAGACTGGATTCTTTGGCTTGTGGTCCCTTCTTCCATCTCCAAAGCCATGAATTTTGGTTGAGACCTTCTTGCATCCAGTTACTCTGACCCTGGCCCCTGCTTCCATTGTCAAATCTCTTGATGCTGAGCTTCCTGCCTTCCTTTTAGGAGACCCTACTCCCACCCCACCCCCATGATTACATTGGGCCCACCTGGATAACCCAGGATACACTCTCCATCTCAACATCCTTGACCTAATGCCTTTTTTTTTTTTTTCGTAAGATTTTGTGTATCCATTTGTCACCGAGGGAGAGAGAGAGAGAGAGCGAGAGAGCACAAGCAGGGAGAGCAGCAGACAGAGGGAGAAGCAGGCTCCCCACTGAGCATGGAGCCTGATAAGGGACTCATCCCAGGACCCCGGGATCGTGACCCGAGCTGAAGGCAGCCGCTTAACCAACTGAGCCGCTCACTTCTGCAAAGTCCCTTTGGCCATGTGAGGTAACATCTTGCATTCTGGGGAGGAGGACGTAGACCTCTTTGGTGGGGGGCTTTATTCTGCCTGCCAGGAAGACTCTGGAAACTTCAATATAGGAAAAGAAACTGGGAAGAGAGGTAGGGAAAGAAACCAGAGTATAGTGTCGCAGAAGCCAAGAGAACAAAGGGATTCAAGGAGGCAGTGAGTCACCGACAAGCTGAAAGTTCATGAGGCTTTGACCCAACCACCTTACTCCTGGAAATCTTCTTGATAAGAGGATTAATTTGTAAAACCTCAGGCCCTAGGATGATATTCTAGCAATGGAATACTCTGTAACCACTTAAAAAAACACTAAATTTATTCATTTAACAAATATTTTTTGTGTGCCTACTATGTGCCAGGCACTACTCTTGGCATTGGGAGTATAACACGGAAGCTGTATGTCAGGGTTTGGAAGCCACCGCCTTAGGTGGTTTCCTGGCCTGCCACCCATTTTGTAAGTTCAGTTCTGTTGGAATACAGCCATACCCACCCCCTCACGTGTGGTCTGTGTCTGTTCTGGAGTGGACGAGAGCAGGATTGAGCAACGGCCACGGACGCGGTCTGCCCACAGAGGCTCAAGGATATACGAGCTGGGTCTTCAAAGAAAAAGTTGGCCTGCCCCAATTCATGCTATGAGCTTTGAAAAGATGCCCATGGTATGTTGCTAAGTGAGAAAGGCCAGTGTTAATATACACGTGATTACATTTTTATAAACAGCAATGGGGGCCCCAAGCCTTCAAGCCCCAACACTTTGAGTACGTATGTGTGTGTTGGGTTGGGTTTATGGTTATCTTCGAGCATCAGTGAGGGCAGGTCGTACATAATCATGGCCTCACTAACTTTCTCCCAGCATTCCTTACTCCTCCTCCTACTTGCTTCTCACTATGCCTTGAATGTGCCAAGCACACACGCACCACAGGGCCTTTGCATTGAATGGCTCCCTGATTCTGGAGCTCTTTTTTCCTATGGTTTCTTTCCCCATCTCTGGTTTCTGTTCAAAGTCACCTTATCATTCCTCTAACCACTTATTTTTTTTTATTCTTTCATATTTTATTTTTCCCCAGATTTATTGAGATGTTATTAACACACAACATGGTTAAGCTCATGGTAGAATGTGTGATGATTCAACACACAACAGCTCAGCGAATGCAAGTTGGTCGCAACAATCAGGCTGGTTACCACCTCTAGCCCCTCG